AGGGGGTACATCAAAGACAAAAATAAGGATTTCAGGGGCGGAGTCTTGTTTCATGGTGTCTTTCAGTCAGCAGGTTGATTGGCATCTTGGTAGGTCACACCCATCTTTGAGAGGCTATGTGGCTGCAGCAGGTCACCCCATCTCTGGTGATGTGTGGGACCTTTGGCAGAGCTTGAATAGACCTCACAATGTATCTAGGCAGTCAGCCAGAGGAAATGTCCACTGGAAGTTCCCAGACCCCAGATTCTCCTATCCATTAGGCTGCAATGCTAATGTAGTCCACATAACCACAGATGGCTCACAACATTTCTATGGAGAAGGACTTTGGCACCATGCAAAAGGAGGTTCTGGGTTTGAATAAGAGCAGGAGTTTGGAGGAAAATTTGGAGAGTACAGTGAAGAATGGCAGCCTACACCTCCACATAGCATGTCCCTTCTTTCTCCCCACTTGTGAAGTCCTCCAAGGGACTGCAGACTCATGACCCCACCCAATGCCAGCTATTCCTGCCACCCTCCTATTAGCAAAACAGGCTACTGGACCCTGATCCTGTGTGTCTCTCTCCCTTCCCCAACACCCATTGTGATGAGGGGGAATCCTTAGTTGTCTACCTTTGCCTCCCCCCAGTAGCCCTTTTGTTCCTTTTGGGTTTAATACCAATGTGGGTGACCTGGCAAGAGCTGCAGCACCAACTGTTTTTCAGGTCCCCACACCTCCTATCTCAGAGAACTTCTCCCTCAAGCCAACCCCTGCAGAATGGAAATCCCAACCCTCAGGTGCCTAGATGCTCCTCCTTTGCCTCCTGCTCCTCTTTCTTCACCCATTCCTTTTTTAGTTATTTCTACCAGCAACTCCATGAGCACTGGCCAGTCTTAACCCTGAAAGTGTCCTTCCCCCCACCAGAGCCAGGGCATTTGCACTCCCAATCCAGCAGCCAACTATGTAGCCTGAGGTCTCTGCCATGGACACTACTTTGCTTTAAGGAGGTGAACTTCAGAGCTGCCCCCAGCACTAGAGGGGACTGCTGCTTATTCTCCCAGGTTCACTGGCTTAGGTAGCCCAGGTAGCCAGAAAATGGACCAGTCTTCATGGGCTGACCTACACCTAGATTTCACCATTCCTCTGTCCCAGTAACCACTCCTGAGCCACCTCTTGGAGCCCTCATGAGCAACAAAGGTGAGCCTCCCTCTGTCACAACTGGCTCCTTCTCATGTTCTCAGTCATGAGTCACATGCTGGCCTCCTTCAAAATCCTCCAAGCCAAACATCAACAGTGCTATGAATACCACTCCTCCTTCTAAGGCTATTACCCTCAGTCTTCTTCTGTCTCCTATAACCACTTGGGCCCATATTCCAGGGTGCTTCCTGGTTCTGGGAAGCTCCTACCTAGTGGCAGGATTGCCTTGGAATTGGTCTCCCCCAGTTGATATGCACAGTGGATGCAGGAACCTAACACAGCTCTCCACCATCCAAGCAACACAAGAGCCACTCTTCAGCCCACAGTCAGGATTCCTCATGGACAGCAGCAGCACATCACTTTCTCTTTGGACAGCCTGGGAAACCCAGCACAGGCTACAGGCTTGACCTTTCCCACAGCTCATCAGATGAGTTGGGAAGTACAAGACAGACAGGACTTGTGGATATCACCTCACCCCAGACACCATTTGGCATGACACTAACAACTAGCCGTACTTTCCCTAGAACTCAGCTGCTATGAACCTGGGCACAACCACTAAGTCAGGCTAGAGACTTGGTACCAGGTAGAAATGCTCTGTGGATGGTGCTTCACTCTCTGACAGCATCCCTCCCAGCCCTGTGGCTTTCTTGGGTCCTGTGACTCCCAGGAGTGGAGGGAACTTTGTGTTTGGCCTGTCCACACCAGACCCCAGGCCCACGACTAGAGCCCTGTTTAGAAATACTGAGGCACCCCACAGTGGATGGCAAGAGAGAACCTTGTGAGCACTCAGTTGGGCCTCCCTGGCGTGCCTGACTTCTCTGAGCTCTGAGCCATTTTCTCTGTTGTTGGACCTGGCTTCCGTGTCCATTGCTATTTCCCTTCCCCTCACCTGACGACCTCAATGGCCTTTCTCTTTCCCCAGTGAAGGACATAAACTCTTTGTTTCTAGTTCATGTATCTCAGTTCCTGAGTCTTCCTTGGTCACTGACTAGACAGTGGGGGAAGAAGTGGCATGTATATGAAGTGACATGTGGTGCCAGACCTGTAAATAATCTCCATCCCAGGGAAGAGGACTTGAAGTGGCCACCTATATGACAGCGTGCAGAAATGGGCCAGACAGGGCTTCAACCCACACACATCAAGCTCTCTGCTCCTGAGTGGCATACTTTTGTCGGAACACACTACAGTGCCTGAGTTTTGAGAAAATGTTGTATCAAAACAGAACAAACCGTGAGTTTCATACACTTAAATAATACGATTCCACAGGTTTTATGTCTACACATTTCCATGAAACCTTTTTTTTTTTCAGTTAATAAAATGGACCTTTTACTGGAAAAAGTTTCCCCATCCCCCATCCTGTGCCCTGTCTTCCACCCTTCCTCCAAGTTTTCTCTTCATGTCCCCAAGCAGGTCCTGATCTGCTTTCCATCACTAGAGATATGGCACTCTTTTGAAGGGTATGGAAATGAGTTAATACAATGTGGTCTCTTTCGCTCCTCACACCAAGCATAATGATTTGTAGAGAAGCCACAATTTTGTGTGTAAATAGGTCTTTTGTTTGTCTGAGTAGGATTCCCTGTAGGAAATATTCTGTGGATGGCACTTCACTCTCTGAGCTACCATGTTGAGTTTTTTCAGCCAGGCTTTTTAGAGTCATTAGGGTGTGTGTGTGTGTGTGTGTGTGTATACACCAGGGACTGAACCCAGGGATGATGTGAGGATGGCCTTAGGCCTGAGCCTTAGCAACCCCATTTTTAAAAACTCCAGTGGAAACCTGCAGTCTCACCAGGCACACCCACAGGGCCCTCCAGTAAGGCCTCAAACAAGTTACTTCCCTTCACCCTCATAAACAGTGAAGCCCCTGGCAGGGTGTCCTTGCCTGATAAGAGGGAGAGGCGAAAAGATCAGGGTATAGACCACGAGACCAGATGTTTCTGACCCCGGGGTAAATGAAGTCATGGAGAAATCTGGTGGTAGCTGATAAGGATTAAAAGGGGAGTCAAAAGCCCCAAGATTTAGTATAGATAATAGAGCTGATGAACAGGGATTCAGCCAGCCGAAACAAGGATGCACTGGAGCTGAAGAGCCTGATGAGGACCTGACATCCCATCACTTGTCATCATTTCCTGAGCCTCTGCGTGATCCTCTACCGCCTCATCTGGACCCTGGTGAGAGCCACAACTTCTCCCTACAACCCTCTCCTCAACCAGTCGTCCGGTCCTCGCCAGGAAAAGCCTGCCTTGGTTCTGGACCAGGTCACCACAGTCTAAATGAGTGTGCATCTGCTGGACCTAAAGCCTAAGGCTTAAGACTTTTGAACTCAGCATGCAGAGGGAATGTCTGTCACTAGCCTGTCATGATTAAATGTGTTTTGCAGTGCTTAGAATTAATCTAGAATTATTTGCTGCCAATTGATTATGTCTATTGAAGTGCCTAGCATAAAGAATTGTTGTTTTCTTAATTAAGAACCTATAGAGTGAAGTTGTATTGAGTAATTTGAGTGAATAAAGCATTAAAAGGGGCAGAAGTGCATGGACATTCTTCTCCCCTTGACTGCATACATCGAAATTTTGCCCCCTGGTGACAGACAGTTAACCACTGAGTCACAGCCCCGGCTCTTTTTATTTTTATTTTTGAGACAGTTTCTGGCTAAGTTGCCAAGCATGACTTTGAACTTTCAATTTTTCTGCCTCGGCCTCAGGAGTGGCTGGGATTACAGTCTGGCACCACCTCACCCTTTGACTCTTCAGTTCTTAATGATGAAGCTGTTGTGAATGTTCTCGTGAAAGACTTTGCATGACTATATAAAGGAAGAGAAGGGCTGTGTCATATGCTAGGTAGATGCTTCACTTTTAAATGGGCAGACTTACTAACCTCTGAAGGGAAGGTACCAGCACAGGAAGTTTCTAATTCCTACATTTACTCACTAATGAGAAAGTTGAAAGACTGATTGCCTTTTGAACAGGACCTTTTGGAATGTTGAGAATAACACTAACTGAAGTTTGAACAGGATCTATCTCAGTGTTGAGGAGAGACTGTGGGAGAACAAGGACATGGTCAGCAAGTCCAATATCTGGTTCAAAGTCATGATTTACTTAAATATGTGACTTCTGCTCTCTGAAGATACACAGAAGAAACTGGCAAAAGAATGAAGACTAAAGAATTGAGAACACTGCAAATATCCTCCCAGTATCTAAGGAAAACATCTGGGTGGTGCTAGTAGACTCTCAACGCCACTGGAGGCAGGAATCCATGAGTCAACTTGTCAGATGAGAATGTTGTGAAATGACAGGTGTCAGGAAATGTGTCTGGATGGCTTCATCCAGACCTTCCCAAGCAATGCCATTTCCATTTAGTTATTAAAAATAAATAGAGCCTTCTTTTTCAATGGACGGGAGAGGCACTTCCTCATATAAGCAATCCTGAAAATAACTCTCAGTGATCTGCAAGGTGACAAGAATAAATGTTCAATGTAGACCCTTTTTTTCTTTTCTTTGTTACTTTTTTTTGGTAAGTCTTCATAATTATAAATCCTTTGGGAGACTTTTTTTTCATCTTTGAACCTACCCCACAGGTAGGGATGATTTCCCTGTAGCTTAATACCCATCCTAAATCCTGAGTGGTTGCTTAAGGAAACTGAATGTTGACATCTGTGAATGCTGAGGTTGTTGTTCTTCTATGGAAACACCTTTTCTAAAATCCACTGGAATTTTTAAATTTTAAGATTACAGAACAGGGACACAGTTTGACTTTGTGTGCCTCCTAAAACTATAATTTGATAAATGTAAACTCCTGCCCAAATGAGTAGATCAGTGAAAGCAAGAGATTGTGGAAGTCTTCAACCACAGAAAGGTTTTTATTCATTCTTGAAAAACAGTAAGGGGAATGGAGAGTTGACGAACAAAATCCTCAGGAAAAAGACTTGTTTAAGAAAATGAAATACAGAGGCAGTCTGCTTTGGTTGAGCCCCGGTCACAGTGAAAGAGAGATAAGAGGAGCATAAAACAAGGAGACAAATGTTCTTTCAAGAAAATGGTTCAGAGACCCCCTAAGTCTGTCCCCACGTTTTGCATAGGATGTACCATGGGTGGCTGGCAATGAAGACAAAAAAACGGGGAGTGAGAAGGTTCAGTCACAGGTTGTCCAATATTGTTTGATTGTCACTATGGCAATGATGTCCAGTGCTGGCCATCCTATGTTCCTTTGTTATGACAGGAGACTGGTACTTTCAAAATGATCAAATTTAGTTACCTAAACCGGAAAGAATAAATTTAATTAGTGAAATATTTTTCTCAATTAGTGAATTAAAGGTTCTTGTTGGAAAATATTTTGCCCTGATAAATTTTACCTCAAACTGGTTGCTTCCTAAAAATAAATTATTACAGAATAATCATATGCCACCAAACATTATTTAGCCTTGCACCACTAATGAAAATCTACCTCACATGATTGAAAGAAAGGCATTCTTTCCACCTATTCCTAATTAATAAGAAAATTCAGGAGTTGGATATTTCTGTCCTGATTCCCTTTTACTGTCATGAAAAGCAATATTCATGTATTAATGAATTTCATTCTTTGGGTATAAAACAAACAAAACAAAAATCATGAAAAAAGGTGTTAAAAAAATCCAAGGAAATCCATGGGAATAACAAGACTAATTGTTTTCTAACAAATCCCATATGGGGTTGTATTTTGCGGGTTTCCTGTTGGAAATCTTTGTCTCAAATTCCTACTAGATCATTTCTGTTCAAAGAAACCAAACTTTGTACCTCACTGAAATATCTTTGAATGATATTGAACATCTATTATGAAATGGCATAATGTAGATCATTTCTGCTTCTATAGAGCTCTGAAGAGCTGCTAATGAATCTCTTTCTTCAAAGCTGATTTGGATCTAAACAAAAACTTTTGTGTTCTCCCAATTTTAAAGGTTGTTGGGGACAGAAATCCAAACATGCTCAGATATAGCAGAAAAGGAGGGCCAAAGCAAATGTTCAAACATATGATATTCTGAATATAATTTTAAAATGATTTTTAAATTCTAAAACTTATATAAGAAATATTTTTACTGACTATGAGTTTCCTGTTCCTAAAACTCCTACAGGCCATGTGTCTGATACGAATCTCCCACAAGAGAGAGAAAACACTTGAGATGTAGGAAGCTACGGAAACACGGGTCAGGCTGTCATGTGTAGGGTTCTCCAAAAATATCCCTTCATGCTAAAGCCCAGCTCTTAAGACAAGTGTCTTTCCCTTGTCCTGACACCCAAGAGCATGTCCCCTTTCTTGGATACCTCAACTAACATTAAGGAAACAGTAATACGTGGTGAAAAGTGGGCCAGTGGCATGCTCAAAATGACCACCTCTGGTTGATCTGACTTGAATCCAACACACTGCTCCCTCTTTGCCTGAAAATCCATGACATACTGGCCTTTAAGACCTCTTCAGGGAAGGCCACACCAACTGGCTTCTCATCACTCTATGGAACAAGACACTGCTCGATTTCATTCTGCATGAACCCCACTGAGTCTAGAACACATCTTTACACATTTGGATTCCAGGAACTCAGCAGAAAAGCAATCTGGACAGCAGGGTCCCCTTGACAGAGGGATGGATTACTAATGACTGGTGGCCTGAATCTTCCTGAGGAGACTGGGATCCAGCATTTGCCTCTCTATTCTGTCTGAGTGGGTGTCCTCCTGGGTGATGAATATACTCCTTACTTAGAGGACTTGGTGCTAAGACCATGAAAAAAAAAAAGGTGGTTAATATAAGAGTCTATGAATCTATAGCAGTCCAAGGTACCAGGGAGCACAGCATGAGCTCTGGAGTCACATAGCCTGGGTACAAGGACTGGCTGGGTCACTACCAGGTGACTGACCTTAGGAAGGGTGTAGGGATTCCATGTGATTATTTATTTATGGGAGTGATTACCAGGGTTTGAACCCAGGGGTGCTTAACCACTGAGCCACATCCCCAGCCCTTGTTATATTTTATTTTGAGACAGAGTCTCACTAGATTGCCCAGGGCCTCCCTAAATTGCTGGGCCTGGCTTTTAACCCCCCATTCTCCTCAGACTCCCAAGCCACTGGGATTTCAGGGGCGCTTCCTTCTGCTCTTAGGAAGGGGTGGAGCTTGTCACAGCGTCCAGTCAGCTCAGGGAACTGATTCCTCTCCTTGGAAGCCCAGGCTAAGAGGATGAGGCCTTGCAGGCCTTGAAGAAAAGACACTGGTTCCAAGGTAGCATGAAGGCACTGGAGAGGTCACTAAAGGGGCCTGGTAGGATCTGGTTCACCCTGGCCCTGTGCTTTCAACAGGACCTGCATAGATGCCCCAAGTTCCTGCCCCTCCCCTAAGTCCCCGCCTTACCAATTCTATTTTCATGCCAGGCCCCCAATTCTCAGTAAAGCCCCTCCCCCGCTCCACAGGCTTCCATGGCCCATAGGAGAGTGTTGGCCACACACAGGCAATTGTTCCATGCCCAGTTAGAGCCCTGGCTGGACACCGGAGCCTTCAGAACCGGAAACCAGGACACAGGATCAATGCTGGATAGGGCTCAGTATTAATAGTCCCGACATAGTGGCCACGTGGCAACACACACCAGCAAGGAGCAGGATCACGTCCTCCGGAGCTTGAAAATGCAGCCCAATAGTGAACAATGGGCCTCGCTCCCTGTCCTGAATCACCTTTTCTTGACAAAACCACGTTTCACCATGAACTGGCTGCACACTGTGAACTGTGTCACTAGTTCCAACCAAACGTCACAAAGCCTGGGCTGATCAGGGCGTGGGCAGTGTGCATTTGGCCTCCACTGGACGCTGTGTTCAGGTCAATCTCCTTTGGTGTCTTGATTGGTATGGTGATCAGACCTGCACTAAGTGCTCTGAATGCGTAATCCACCCAATCAGCGAGGTCGTAGGTGCCTCCGCGCTGCTGGTCCTTGCTGGCGAGAGGCAGCGGGCAGGAACCAGGGGCAGGGGGCAGGGCCCACCTTTAGGATTGGACCCTTCGGATTGATCCCCAATGCTCCCGCTCCTGGCAGGCATCACCCTGCTGCTTCAACACCTGCCAAGTGCCCTGCCTTCAGCGTCTTCAACCAGGATCCCTCCCCTAAAGTTCCTTGGTCAGCTGGATACAGAGACAGTCTCCTGAAGGCTGTACACACCTCTCTGTGGATCCTCCAGTTGGTGTCCTGGCAGAACTCCAGGAAAAGCCTGTGCTATCAACTATCAACTCCTGGGTGTTCCTACCATCCAGAAGTTTAAGGATTTCTCCTCTCCTGCTCAGACCATCTCCTGCCTTTGCCAACTGAGCAGGTACTGGGGGCTGTTGAGCCCATCGCACCAGCTCACCTCCTTTTTTCTCCTCCTAAGGAAATAGAGGTGAATACCTCAGAGCAGCTCAACCCAGGAATATCTGAGGAGGAGGCCAGGGAGAAGGAGGAGGAAGAGGAGGTGGTGGAAAAATGGAGCAGGGCCAGGAAGAGACAGCAGGACAATGTGGGAAAGGAATTCCCCTCCAAAAGGGGAAGCAGCACCAGTCAAGCCTCTGGGGATGCAGCAAGACCTCACTGCAGGGCAGCCCAGTCCTGGGCCTCAGGAGAGAAACACCATGTGGTAGAGGGGCCAGGTGTCTCCTGAGAATTTATGCTTTGGCCACCATGAGGTCCCCAGCCAAATCAGACCTGCTGCAGAATGGGGTCATGGAAGAGCTGGATGAACAACATCTCGCCCAGCTCTTAGGATTCAAAGGGTCAGGCAATGGGATGCAGGAACAAAAGCCTTCTTGAGGTTTAACTGGAAGTTGTTCTCCACACATAGATACTAGCCTGAGCACCCCTGCCCCCCCCAAGAGAAAGAGGCCAATGCAAAGAGCCCTGCTGCACCAAGAAATTGAGGTGAGCTGCTCCCACCTTCTAAGTCTTTTATTGTTTTTCTAGAGAAAGACTTTGGTACCCTGCAGAAGAAAGTTCTGGGATCAAAGAACAGCAAGAACTTGGAGGATAACAAAGAGGACTCAGAGGGTACAGTGGAGGCGTGGCAGCCTGAACCACCATTCAACCTGCCCTTCTTTCTCCCTATCTGGACCCCAGCAGGGACTGCAGGCCCACTAACCCCACCCACTGACACTTGCCAGATGCCAGCTATTCCTGCCACCTCCCAATTGGCAGACCAGGCTGCTGGGCCCCTGATCCTGTCTGCCTTTCTCTCTTCCCCACACCCAATAGTGATGAGGGGGGAATCCCTATTTGTCTTCCTTTGACTTCTTTGGCTGTCTCTCTTCTTCCCTTTAGGTCCAGGCCAATTGTGGGGGTTCTGGCCAGTGAGTGTCAATACCTTAGTCACTTGGAAAGAGCTGCAGCATATCCATTTCTCACCTCCTCATAATCTCCTATCTAAGAGCCCTGCAAGCCTATGCCTTGGAGATAGGACATTCCAACACTCATGTTGATAGATTTTTCTCCTCTTGCTACCTCATCCCATCTCTAGTCTCTTCCACCAACAACCCAATGGCCAGTCCCTACTCCAGTAAGGGTCTCTCCCACCACCAGAACCAATGCATCTGTGCTCCAGATCTAGCAGCCAACTCTATAACCTAGGATCACTGCTATGGACATTTCTCCACCTTTTAAGGTGGCAACCTTCAGATCTGTCCCTGGCTTGAAAGAGGTGTGCTGGCCACTCCCCCAGCTGTATTGGCCTAGGCATCACAGGCAGCTAACAAAAGGACCAGTCTCCATGGACCCTCCTACACATAGGATCTTCTTCCCCAGTCATACCAGTTCACCCTTCTTCTGTGCCGCAGTCTGGCTGGGCACAAAATCACGAGCCACTTAAGCAGGAACAAACTTTATTTTTGAAACTGCCGCCAATGTTCCATATGCCCCCGGAAAGATCGCCGACCTATGCACGCGGCGTTCTCCCCGATCCCAAGAGGAAGTTCCTCCTCCGGAATTCCCTCCTACCACACTTCCCCAACCAATGGGAACTCTCCAGGAGTCCCATAGCAGGCCGAGGTGGATAGCAGGAGTCCAATATATCCATATGAATGTAAATCTTAACATAATCATATCATCTCAATGGCTAGCTGGCGTCACCTTTCAATCAAAAATGCCATGCATCATATTACTTGGCTGTGGCTCTTAGCACTTCTGTACCAACAACCATTCCTCAGCCCACCTGTGTGAGTCCTCTTGAACAACAAAGTAAGGCCTCTCTTCACAATACCCTACTGCTTCTGGTGCTCCCTCTCATGGATTATGCACAGGCAGCCTTGCTAGCTGGTTGAGCCTCTGCACCATCATCCTCCAGCCTGCCACTGAGAATGCAATGGATAAGACCCCTCCATGCATGGCTATCATATTCCAGTCTTTTTCTGTCTCCCACAACCACTTGGGCCCATATTCCAAATTGGGCTGCTGAACAGTGTGTGAAGAGTGTAAATTTGGCCTCCACTGGATGCTTTGTCTAAGTAGGACTCTCCTTGATCTCTTCTCTGCTTTAGGGATCTGACCTGTCTGAAGTGCTCTAAATAGGCAATCTGCTCAGTGCAGTAGCAAGTGCCTCTGCACCACCTGCCCTTGCCCAGCAGTAACCTGTCCTTGGGTCTGGCCTGTGAACTCCAGCCTCTGGCCCCTCTTTTCCAGCATATGCCAATTGCCTTGACTGTACATTCTTCAACCAAGATCTCCATCCTTGTGTACCTTGGTCAGTTGGCTGCTACAAAGCTCCTCTCATGCAGATGGTGCACACTTCTCTTGGGATCCTTCATTTAGTGTCCTAAGGGGACTCAAGAAAAGTTCTGGTTTGTCGATTCTCTTGAATATTCCTACTGTCCAGAACCTTAAGGATCCCTCCTCTTTGGTACATGCTCATTTTTCTGTCTTCACCATCTGGGGAGCTCTTCTGCTGGGTTGTAGAGCCCATGACACCAGTTCTCCTCCCTTTTCCTCCTCTTAAGGAAATAGAGATGAGGATCCCAGAGAAGCCCTGGCAGTCAGGGAGGAGGAGGAGGAGAAATAAAGGAGGAGGAGAATCAGGATCAAGGCCAGGAAGTGATAGAGATGAAGTGAGAGCAGGATGATGGAGGAATGGGGTGATCCTAGCAACAGGAAAGTAGTATTAGCCAAGCCCCTGGAGATTCAGGGAGAACTCACTGCCCAGTCCAGGGCCTCAAACAGAGAACCATGTGCTATGGGACCATGTGCTCTCAGGAACTTCTACTCTGGCTCTTACCCAGTCTTTAACTGGCACAGCCCTGCTGCAGGTGTGCTGACACTCTTGAGCAGCCTGATGCAGGCAGCAGTGCTCCTCCGGCCAGTTCCAGACAGCACCCATCTGCCTGATAATGGGGTCATGGAAGGGCTGGATGAACAACATCTGCCCAGCTCTCCAGGTTCCCAGGGATCAGGCAACAGGGTGCAGCCTTCTTGAGAAGGTGGAAGCCGTCCTCCACACATAACTGCTAGCTGGAGGCCCCTCAATAGAAAGAGGCCCATACCAATAGCCCTGCCACTGCCCAAACTAAGGAATCGAGGTGAGCTGCCCTAACCTCCTAAGCATCCTCTTGTGGACCGGAAGAAAAGCACCCTGTTCATCTCTTCCTATTTGACAAGAAAACTCAGCAGTTGGATATTTCTGGGACATTCTTGTCCTGATTTCCTTTACTGTTGGGAAACCCAACATTCAACAGTTAATGATTTTCATTCTTTGGTTAAAACAAAACAAAGATAACTATGGAAATAACTAGACTATAATTGATTGTTTTCAAATGAATCTCACATGGGGTCATATTTTGCAGGGTTCCTGTTGGAAATCTTTGTTCCAAATTCCTAGTAGCTCATTTTTGTTCAAACAAACTTGGCCCATTATTGGAACCTCTTTGAATGATACCAAGCAGCTACTGTGAAATGTCATGAGTGTAGATTATTTCTGTTTTTCTAGAGCTTCCAATGAGCTGTTCTTGAGTTTCCAGCAAAGTCTGAGCAAAATTTTTGCATCCTCCCAAGCTCAAAGGTTATTGGGAACAGAAGTCCAAACTTTCTCAGATTTAGCAGAAAAGGGATCTTTTGGTCAGAGGGCCAAAGCAAATTTTGAAACCTATGGTATATGCCCAATATTATTTTAAAATGATTTTTAGATACTAAAACCTGTATTAGATATATTTTTACTCATAGCCATGATTCCTGGTACTGAAACTTCTGCAGGCCATATGTCCGATATACATCTCCCTCAGGAGAGCAAAAAACACTGAGATGAAGGAAGAAATGGAAACAAGGGTCAGGCTGGATAAAGTCATGTGTAGGGTTTTCTAAATCCTTCTCATCATGCTAAAGCCCTAGCTCTTAGGATGATAGCATTTCTTTCCCTTGTGCTGACACCCAGGAGCATGTCCTATCTTAGACATCTCAACTGACATTAAGGAAACAATAATGCATGGTAGAGGGTGAGCCTAGTGGCATGCACACAATTACCACCTTTGGTTGTTCTGACTTGAATAACACACTGCTGCCTATTCACTATTCACTGGCTTTCGTGGCCTCTTCAAGTAAGGCCACACCAACTGGCTTCTTATCAGTTTGTGGAATAAGGCACTGTTGGATTTCATTCAGCATGAACACCTGTGATACATCTAATACATTTTTATTCTGGGAACTCAACAGAAAAGTCATCTGTACTGCAGGATTCAGTTGGCAGAAGGATGGAAGAGGCTTTACTGACAACTGGATCTACAT